ATAAAATAGGTATACAAACTGGAAATTTTGATATGCAAATTGAAAATTTAAAAGCATTTTCTCCTTTATTTTATGTAGCAGGAAAATTAAATTATGCAAATTCAGTAGTATATGCTTTACATGAAATAGATTCAGATCCATATTTAGAAACAATCCTTCATTATGTAGCTTCAGTAAATATAACTCGTGCAAATCATTTTTTTGCATTTGACGAAGCACTTGAAACATATGGAGTTAAATTTATAAAGCAATCTTTAACATCATGTGTAATAGACTTAGAAACTCTTAAATTACAAATTAAATCAGCACAATTTAAAATTGAAAGATTAACAACTTTATTAAAAGAATTTTTAAATATAAAAGAATCAAAAATTACACAAGATCGTATTATAACTTCAAAAAAAGAAATTATTTGGAAACTTTCAATAGAATTATTTGATTTATTTAAATATCCTACAAATACTAAACATAGATTTTTACAAACTACACCTCAAATGAATCAAATTGGATATAATAAACTTGCCTTATATTATGAAAATGAAAAAAAACTTATGGAAAAATTATATAAACAAGAAATTACTAATGAAGAACCACGAAATACATCTGGAAGAAGAGCTACTGAAATTGTAGTTTATACTTATGAAAAAATTCAAAAAAATATTTAAACCAAATAAAAAAAGATATTTAAGTAACAGATTCTCAATTATTTTTATAAAAAAATCAAAATTATGTTTTTATTATATATACCACTAAATATTGCGACCATTATCTATATCCCAATCATATTTCTGCAACTTACATCTCTAATAATATTTTCCCAAATTATACACTTGTTAAAATATTTACAGCACTCTCGAAAAGTTGATCTATATTATTATCTAAAGAAAAATCTTCATCACCAATATTAGTATTATTCTCAGTTTCAACATCATCCAATTCCTTTGTATTTTCATCTGTGACAATCCTACCAAATGAATTAAGAGTTTTCTGAAAAACCTTACAATTACTTTTAATTCCGCTCACAAAATAATCAGTACAATACCAGCATTGACTCTGTAATTTAAATAAAAAACATTCAAAGTGATAAGCATGCCTACAAATCAGAATACAACCTACCTCACAAGAATCTATACAGCCTTCAAAGTCACAGTATCTATCATTTGGGAAGGATATTATGTATTCCAAGCTATCGGCAATATTTTAACATTAACTTAAGCTTCAAGTATTAGAAATTTATATAATTTGAATTTTGAACGTACATTAGATGAAATAATTATTGACCTGCCAAGATTCTTATAAATATCTATAAAGAAATTTAATAGGAAAAGCATGGTCTATTTTTCAAGATACTCTAACTGTTTTACTGAATATCTAATATTATGATTCTCAGAAAATATATCTATAAATGAGTTACCACCATGCATATAATCGATTATTCATGTTCGTTGAATGATCTTCTCTGTAGTATGTGATTTCTGAATTTGCCGTCAAAGTAAGCTATGGAAGTTTTCCACATAGTAATCATTAAAAACATAAAAAGAATTTCTAAAAGCTTGTAAAATAGGATGGTCAGTACTGGTTCAATAAAAAATATCACTTAAAAATGCTAATGGTAATTTATTGTAATGTCTACGCTGATATTGATAAAAAATAGCCCAAATACGAAATATGACTTCTTTATATGCCAGCCAATCTCCACTACAAAATATGATAGGATAAAAATTTAACATTAGCAGGATGATATTGTCTAATAAATTGATAAGATTCTGGCTTTTGGATCTTTAGAATATTCAAATTTTCACAAAATTATTGAACGTACTTGAGACCAACCTTGAGATGCTAATTCTAATAACAAATTAATTTTGTAAGGTTTTGGTTTTTTCGCCAATACCTTTTAATGTCCAAACACTTCATGAAAGAGTATATCAAAGATTCGATAATTTAAAAGAAATACAGTTTTGCGACTGTTTAAGGATATATGTAATGGTCTAATCATTAGAATAATATGCAATATTTGTTCCAGTATTCTAAAAGAATCACTGATATTGATTTGATAAGTGATAGCACGCCGTATATAAAGTTTCTCAGGATAGTCTATAGGTGCTACTAATATTTGAATTCCAAGTAATTTTTTACTTCTTTATAAACATTTATTATATGTTAAAGGATATCCACATAATTTTCAGTCAAATGAAGAGATCCTACTTTCAAATCTACTAATTTTGTATTCTTCATGCTTTGATCAGTCTGACATTCTTCAATTCTTTTATTGTAGCTGTGAATTAAGAGCCGCTCAACTTGTTCATTATGAGTTTCTAATACAGGCATCAAATTAGCAAACGTCTGCTTTCATCCTGTATAACTAAGCCATAAAAAAGGAAAAAATGATTTATAAGCATTTGCTATAATAATGGTTGTATCGATACCTCTTTCATTATGAATACTTTTTTCTTGGTTAGAATTATAAAATGGAATAAATGCCATTTCTGATAAGGCTTTTAAGAGAATTGTGATAAAATAAGATACTTCATGTGTAGTTATCATGTCATTACGACAGTACTCATAAATATTATGAAAATCATTCACATTGAAAACAACTAAGCTTCCAATCTATTAAATGATTAATAATATTAGTTATTTATGAATAAAACCCATAGAAATATTTATATACCTATATTTTCTGATAAAAACTCTTCTACAGTTATCGTATGTACTTCCGCATGCTAAGCTTTCTGTCTCACAATGATTTCACATCTTACTGTAAAGCCTGTACCTGTTAAGGTTTCTATTACTGATGAAGATGTTCTGAATGTATCTAGCAAAAACCTTACCTCTGCCTTAATCCCATTAATAAATTTATTATTAAGTCCCGCTAGGAAATAATAAAATGAAACCAGTCTTTTCTTATTCTTCTCATTAGTCATTTGGCTCTTAGCTTGTGGGTTAGTTCCAGCTACTAGTTGACTAAAAAAACCTTTTAATAATAATTCAGCTTTCTCAAGCATTTTCTTAAAATCTTCTAGATTGAGAATAGGTCTTTCATTATATATACACTGCCTTGTATACAACACCCTGCTATTAATTTAATCTTTTTGTTGAGAGGGATTAATTCCAAAATATTTGGTAAATATTTAATTGTATAAGAAAGCGGTCTGGGATACAGCTATGAACAAAAAATTATTTACTTACCTAGGTTCGCTTCATCAAGCTCTGCATATACACCATTATATGAAACTTTCAGTTCCTAAATTCAGATTCAGAGTAAATGATATCACTTTGTAATATATATGACCTGCCTTGAAATATTCTTATATTCTCTTTCAGAATCCTTTCTGGTGCTGGTGGATAATTTGGCAAATTAACATATTTCAGATTGGTATTAGTTTTATATAAGTAATGGTGACACATCATTGCCCTTGTGGTAGCTTGAAGAATTTAATTAATCATTCTGGAGCTTTCTTAATAGTTTTAGTTTCCATACCATGTCAAGCTATAGAAACATAAAACCTGTGTTTTGGATGTGAACATTCATTGTTAATTTTAAATTTTTTAGTATTTACTATTAGTTTATTATAATGCTTTCAACACAAAACTTTTCTAACCAAGTCTAGATGTTGACTTGAACTTGATATTATCACTTTCTCAGATACAATAGATGTACTGTACTTTTCATAATCACAGACAACACCCTTCTGGCCTTTCAGATCACAATAGCAAGCCTTTCTTTTTCCCTTTTTCTTATCGGAAGGAGCTGAATCTTCATGGTGGACTTTTTATGTAGACATTTTACTTTATATTCTTTTTTCTGGTGATAAAAAATGCTGGAATAAAATAAACTCTTATTAGCTAGTTTTCGAATTATCTCACCATTTACTGAATTACTTCAATAGTCTATAAAACAAAAGATATACTTTTGAATTTTTTAGCCACAACTTTTGCTAATCCATTTTCAAAGCTGCCAATCTATTTAAAGTTAGATGATCATCTTTTTTATAGGAATTTACTATATGATGATCATTTTAAAGATCAACCAATCACATTTAAATCCGCTATGCTATTTTGGGCTAAAATTTTGTAAAAAATCTGGGTATTTTATATGGTGTTTTTTTTTGAACCAAGTAATAGGCGATTTTATTGATTTTTATTTTATTAATTTATAAACGAATTTTTATTATAATGTATTAGAATTATAAAAGAATATTATAAGCTAAGTAAATTTTTTTTTTTTATTTATTATTATTAAAATTCCAATAAGATGACAAAAATTTAAAATCTATTTTTTTTTTTTTTCAAACTATTAAATTATATATATAATAAAGGAATTATTAATAAAATCATTATAAAACTTAGATAAATGATAACAGTTATAGAATATGTTGATCCTAAATAATTTTTATATACTTTTAAAATTTTATATTACACAATAATTCTTTAACTAATTTTTAACATTATAATAAAAATTTATTTAAATATTTGATTCAAATATATTTTTTATATTTAAAAAAAAAAAAATTTCTTCTTTAATTAATTTTTATAAGTAAAATAAAGATAAATTGTAAAAAAATTTTTATAGTTAAAAGTTAAAATATGAATTAAGTTTTAATATTTTTTATATTATTATTTAAAGTGAAGTGGAAGATTCTCATAAAGTATTTTTCTGTTCATATTATTATATATAATAATTATTTTATATAATGATGTAATAAATAATATATATAAATAAATAATATAAATGTATTTATTATCTATTTACGCTTACTACATTACAATTATTTAATATTAAACAACTTTACCTTTATTATTTATAATCTTTTAGAATTTATAATATGTTGAAGTCTTTCAAAAATGAAAGGTTGAAAGAGAAAATCTTTAAAAATACAGACATAATATACAATAAAAAGTTAGTAATAATTTTCTTGTTATATTGTTTTTTTTTATTGCATTTATTTATTTTTTCTAATGATTTAATTCTAAATTAATCTATAATACACAAAAATAATTAGTAAACAGTATTCACTTCAGACTCAACAGGTTT